CAGCGTTTCGTGGCCCCCTATGGAGCTCCAACGACGGTCCCAGTGCTACCGCCCGCATGCGTCCACCCCAGCCAGTACAGTGTTTCGTGTGCCCATTGGGAGCTCCACCGACGGTCCTAGTGCTACCGCCAGCTCCACCGACGGCCCTAGTGCTACCGCCCGCATGCATCCCCCCACCCCCAAGTACAGCGCTTCGTGGCCCCATAGGGAGCTCCAACGAACTGCCCAGCGCTATCGCCCGCATGCGTCCCCCCCACCCAGTACAGCGCTTCGTGGCCCCATAGGGAGCTTAAGCGACGGTCCCAGTTCTACCGCCCGCATGCGTCCCCCCCGCCCAGTACAGCGATTCGTGGCCCCATGGGGAGCTCCACCGACGGCCCCAGTGTTACCGCCCGCATGCGTCCCCCCACGCAGTGCATCATGTCAGTCCCCGTAGGGAACTCCACCGAAGGTCCCAGCGCTACCGCCCGCATCCGTCCCCCCCATCTAGTACAAAGTTTCGTGGAGTTCCACCGAAGGTTTCAGTGCTACCGCCCGCATGGGTCCCCCCCCACCTACTACAGCGTTTCGTGGCCACCAACGGCCCCAGTGCTACCGCCCGCATGCGTCCCTCCCACCCAGGACAGCGTTTCGTGGCCCCATAGGGAACTCCACCGACGGCCCCATTGTTACCGCCCGCATGCGCGCCCCCGCCCAATACAGCGTTTCGTGGCCCCATAAGGAGCTCCACCGAACTGCCCAGCGCTATCGCCCGCATGCGTCCCCCCCACCCAGTACAGCGCTTCGTGGCCCCATAAGGAGCTCCACCGAAATTACCAGTGCTACCGCCCGCATGCGTCCCCCACCTCCAGTACAGCGATTCGTGGCCCCATAGGGAGCTCCACCGACGGCCCCAGTACTACCGCCCGCATGCGTCCCCCCCACCCAGTACAGCGTTGTGTGGCCCCATAGGGAGCTCCACTGACGGTCCCAGTGCTACCGCACGCATGCGTTCCCCCCCACCCGGTGCAGCGTTTCGTGGCCCCATGGGGAGCTCCACCGAAACATGATCGACCCACGAACCCGGAAAGGAATATTGAAATGTAACGCATGGCAACGTTTTCAAAGACAACTGATTGGGTGACGGGCACATGCAAGGCTGAGTGTATCGAGCTTGATGTACCCTGCCGAGGGCTGTGCTGTGCTGCACCGTGCTGAATTGCGATGTGCCATGCCGCGATTGTGCTCTATAGCGTCGTGGATCGAGTCCTCCTTTGCATCCGAGTCCTGACCGAACTGATCTGGATCTTGAGCTCGAGCTGCCTGAACACATAGTAGCTGCCCAAGAGCTAATGGACAGGGGAACATGCCAGGAGGACGCGCCGCGAAACGTCCCAAGGGATGCGCCAGGCGGCGTGCCAGGGGACGTGCCATGGGGTCGCACCGCGGGACGTGCCAAGGGGACGCGCTACGGAACGTGCCAATGGATGTGCCACGGGATGTGCCAGGGGACGCGCCACGCAACGTGCCAGGGGGACTCGCCAAGGGACGCCCCACGGAACGTGCCAAGGAACGTGCCAAGTTGCAATGTTGAGTGTATCGATCTTGATGTACCGTGCCGAAATCTGTCCTGTGCTGCGCCGTGCTGAATTGCGATGTGCCATGTCGCGATTGTGCTGTAGCTTCGTGGATCGAGTCCTCCTTTGCATCCGAGTCCTGACCGAACTGATCTGGATCTTAAGCTCGAGCTGCCTGAACACATAGTAGCTGCCCCAGAGCTAATTGACAAGGGGACATGCCAGGAGGACGCGACGCGGAACGTCTCAAGGGACCCGCCAAGCAACGTGCCAAGGGACGTGCCATGGGGACGCACCGCGGGACGTGCCAAGGGGACGCGCTGCGGAACGTGCTGGGGACAAGCGTTTCGCTCGAGACATCCTGCCAACATCCTTAGAATTCCCGCGCGCGGGACGCGGCACGCGCGAGACATCCTCGGAATTCTCGAGAGCGGGACGTGAAAACAAGCATTTCGCCTGAGACATCCTCTGAATTCTGGACCCCCACGAGGCCCCCCACGAGGCCACCGCTCGAAACACCCCCCAATTTTGCAAAACCAGCGTTTCGCTCGAAACCTCTTCAACAAATTATGAAAGACAAGCATTTCGCTCGAGACATCCTGCCAAAATTCAAGGAAATCCTCGAACAACAAACGAATTAGTCGAGACATCCTCGAAATTCCTGCGCGCGGGACGCGGCACGCGCGAAACATCATCGGAATTCCTGCGCGCGGGGTGCTTTTCCGCGTCGCGGTCGGCTCTGCAAAGCCAGCGTTTCGCTCGAGACATCCTCAACAAATTCTGAAAACAAGCGTTTCGCTCGAGACATCCCCAACTCTGTAAAACCAGCGTTTCGCTCGAGACATCCTCAACAAATTCTGAAAAACAAGCGTTTCGCTAGGGACATCCTCAATTTTTTATTCGCCGGCCCTACGCGACCTCGTTATTTATCGCAAAACAAATTCGCCGGCCCTACAGCCGTCAAAACCGGGGGGAAACCAACTAAAAGAGAACCCTGGGCTCAGGCCCTTTCCGGGAAAATAGATTCACACTTGCGGTGCTAACAGATGCATATGGTTGGGTCTTTCGACAAAATGATTCTACAGGCTTACGCCACATCCGCCGACCCCTTCTGTGAGTTTTGCGAGGGCAGGAGTTTCTGGCCAGCGGCGTCTTGTGTGAGGGTGCGGTGTCGCGCGCGGGTGGTGGCAGATACGTAGGGGGTCCAAATGTTTGCGTGATGCCGGTGGTCTGGGGCGTGTTTTGCGAGCGCCTTGCGTGCTGTGCACCCGGGTGCGGGGTGTTCTTCTGGGAGGTCGGCTTTTCGACCCGCAACTAAGTGGAGGACCGCCGGAAGACGAAAGGAGCAAGAGTAGCGTGCGGAAATTGTGATCAGCGAGGCATCACCGCGAAAGATGTGGCAGATGAGTCGAAACGGGTGAAGGCTGTTGACGTTCGCAGCGCGCACGAAACAGTTCGCGCGGCAGCAGCACATTAGCGCCGAGCAAGATAGTGAGCACGTCGCGAGGAAGAGCAAGGCTGTATGCGCGGAGTGCATTGCAGTTGGCTTGACGGCTCGCAATAGTGAAGCGTCTGGGGGTCTTTGGGGGGCCTCCTGGGGGCCTCTTGGGGGCTCCTTGGGGCGTCTTGGCGGCCTCTTGGGGGCAACTGGCGGCCTCTTGGGGCACTCTTGGGCCCCCCTGGGGCTCGTGGGGGCGGAAAGCTAGATTTTTGAATTTTTTGTTGCCCTCTTGGGCCCCTCTTGGTGCCGTTTTGGAGCCTTCTTGGGCCGTCTTGGGGACCTCTTAGGCCGTCTTGGGGCCATATTGGGCCGTCGTGGGGCCGTCTTGGGGGCCTTTGGGGCCGTCTTGGGGCGGTCTTCGGGGCCTCTTGGGCCGTCTTGGAGCGTCGGAAAGCCCACGAGGTGAATTTGTGACACATATACTTAAATGAGCAATTTTCTGCGTTTAGGGACCCTCCCGGGACGCATCTTGGAGGCCCCTGGGGGGCGTCTTGGGCCAGCTGGAGGCCATCTCGGGTGTCTTCGATCGTTCTTGGACCGACCATGTTGAGCTCTCTTGGAAGCCACTTGGGGCGCTCCTGGAGCGCTCTTGGGGCCGTATTCGGGGCTCTCTTGGGCCGTCTTCGGCGTTTCTTGAGCCGTCTTGTCGCCCTCTTGGGCTGTCTTGGGGCCCTCTTGGAGGTTGGGTCCGACAGAACGATTTAGATCTTGGGGCCTAGTTGGACGGGCCGAAAGTCATGCCGTGGCATGGCGCTTGAACTAATGACGCCTGCGCTGCAGTGGGAACACGATTTGGAACGAGCGGGAACGCGGAAATGAGGCCAGCGCTGCAGCTGGAACACGATTCGGAACGAGCGGTAGCCCGAAAAGAAGGCCAGCGCTTCAGCGAGAGCAGCATTTTGAACAAACAAAGATACAAACGCGGAAACGCGGAAATGAGGACGCGTAGCTTGACATAGCATGGCGTGGCGACGCCCCAAGGTGGGGTGGCTTCTGCGTTCCAGAAAGTCAACGAATCGAAACCGACCGTGGGATCACTTCCGATGGTTTTTTCCGGGTGGGTATTTTCTAGATGTTGGGGCCTATTGTGAAGGACCGGAATCCATGCCGTGGCATGGCGCTTGAAAGACTGACGCCAGCTCTGCAGCGGGAACACGGTTCGGAACGCGCATAATTGCAGCGGGAGCACTTGTCTAGGAGGAGGAGGAGGAGGAGGAGGAGGAGGAGGAGGAGGAGGAGGAGGAGGAGGAGGAGGAGGAGGAGGAGGAGGAGGAGGAGGAGGAGGAGGAGGAGGAAGGAGGAGGAGGAGGAGGAGGAGGAGGAGGAGGGAGAGGAGGAGGGAGGAGGAGGGAGGAGGCGGCAGGAGGGCTCGGCAGGCAGCCACGGGCCCGGCCGGGAGCCCGCCGCTCCTGCCGCGGTCGGGGGCGCCCGTGGGCGGTGGCGCTTCGCGGGTGATGCACGGAGGGGAGGCCCGCATTGGGGTGGCTCAGAGCAGGAAGAGGTAATCAGCATGCCTCTTGCAGGGTCAGACGAGGACGACAAGACCATGTTCTTCTGCGCCGTGTGCGGTGTGCGTACACCCCGTCTCGGTGCTACTGGCTAGGCAAGGAGTGTCAGCAGCATGAACTGCCTGGCGCTCCCACCACGCTTCGCCAGAACTATTCTGGCATGCTCCCGCACCTCGGTGAACACAAACGCGGTGAGTGCGAGCTCGAGCCGTGGTGCGGTATATCTGCTACGCGTCCGGTCTGTCGCCGCCTGGCCTCTACCCTTGGCCTGGTTTCTCCGTTTTGGGCCTCCTGGGAGGCCCCCGTCGCCGCTGCTGGATTCGCCCCGAAGTCCTGGTCAGAACGCACCCTGGGAGAGGTCCAGGGAGTGGCGGCACCGTTGCCTCTCGGGCTCCCCGGTGGCGCGGCGTGGGCATAGGGATTGCCGCCAAGGAGGACGAGGCCACCATGCGCGAGAAGTTCCGGCGGCTCGGGGAGTTCATCGAGCGCGGAGGGGCGGGCGTTCTTGTGCCCCCTCACTGATGCCGCCCCCTTCCCGCCTGCTCTCCCCCTCTCGCTCTTCACTCGAGTGAGGAGCCAACAGGTAGCCCCGACACCCATACTACAAGCCTCGTCAAAAATAAACAGAAGACTTCTGAATTCGGTGATTGAGGGGTCAGCGCTACTCCAATGCTGACGGATGCCTGTTGACTCGGACGCGGTGTTGTCCAGAAACCGACCCCACCCCCTCAGCATCGAAGCACGCGCTTTCTGACAAGCGCCCGAAAGCATCGGGCTCCAGGTTTCAGCTTCCATGTCTGGATGTTTTCGACGAGGCTTTTGGGCGCTCGCTGCATGGCCCTGGGCGTGTTCTGAGCAGCCCTGCCCCACTGGATTCCTCCCTGGGGTGCGTTTACAGTGCCGTTTTTAATACATGCTCCGCGTGCGGATCATGTATTAGAACTGCAGGGATTTAGTATTCAAAACAAAGATGAGCTCATTCATACATGTATTCATCGATTCATCATGCACTAAAAGCCCGACATGTTTTAAGATCCTAGGAATTCAAACCTGCCCTGTGAGCAGCCCTGCCCCACTCGATTCCTCCCTGTCAGGAGCGAAAGAAGGACGTACACGTACATGAATCTACGCTGGTTTTGAGAGTACGCATTGCGCAAATGTTCGTTTCACGCGGCCAGTCTCGCGGATCGAGGGGCCGTGTTCATGTACATAGCTGGGCGCGTACGTCCTTTGTGGGCTCCCTGCCCTGGGGTGCGTTGATGTACTGAGCCGCGCTTCGCTCGTCCGGTGCTTTGTTGCTCATGCCCTCTGCTCAGACGCATCCCTCTCCCGTGGCCGCCCCCCGAGGGCCCGTGTTTCGGCACGATTTCCTCGGGGAGGGGAGAGAGCACACAGAGACACAACTCGTCGTCGACGCCCCAGAAAAAATATGCGAAGCTATGGGAAGTGGGGGGGGGAAGGCAACAAAAAATCCAACAGTATGGGGAACTGCGGGGAGTCTATTTCTGTCTGTGTGTATTTGTTTGCGTGTCCTCGGGTCCCTTGCGTTTCGCCGGGAGGCCCCAGAGCCCACGAGGCCCCAAAGGGGCCCAAAAAGACGCCCCTCGAGCACCCCAAACGGCCTCCAAGAGGCCTCCAAAATTGCCTTCAAGTGGCCTCCAGGAAGCCTACCACGAATCCCAAACGAGCTTCCAAGGGGCCTCTAACGTGAACCGAGAACCCGAGATCTTCGCCCCAGGAGACCCCCAGGAGCCGTCAAGAGGTCCCCAAGAAGCTTGGCGACAGATCACCAGTCGACTGGTCGATGAGAGCGGATGAGGAGGCGTGAGGAAAAGGCGGGAGGAAACAGAGAATGTTGATTTCATTATTCCTGACCGCCTTGTTTTCTCAATGCGGTCCGCACTCGACCAGCTAGAACCTAAGCGCGCGCGAAGCGCGCGCGATGGTTCTAGTAAGTTATACTGCGGATTGTATGCCCCTGATTGGGGGGGGCTAGCGGCTGGCCAGGTGGCCCGGTAGGAGTACGTGTTGACCAGGAGTGTGCAGGTATCGGGTGGGGATGCAAGGGGCATCAGTCCCTAAGGCCTTGTCGACTTTTTCGCTAATCGACTTGTGGGGATCGAGCCAGATAAATTTAGGTAAATGCAGATAAATCCAGGTGCATCGAGATGCATCCGGGTAAATCCAGGTAAATCCAGAGATCTCCAAGAAAGTTGGAGCAACTCGCGGCCGCTCCAGCCCGAGTCCAAGGACAGCAGAAGTCGTTCAGCCTTGAACGAATCAGGGCAAACGTGCTCCATCGCAAGGCCAAGCGGGCAGGAGAAGCTGCAGGCGGAGGTGCGGGTAAGGGGGGCGCGGGAGGAGGAGGAGGGAAGAAGGGCGTCTCAGATATCCTGAGTACCGATTGCCAGCCACGTGCTCTCTGGCGCCAGGGGCCTAGCTGAGTTTTTTAATGCGGTGATTCCTCACATATCATTAGGAAGGGAGAGAGAGGGCGGGGAGAGGCATGCTCATGGGGAGAGGCAGGAAGGGGAACGGGGAGAAGGGGGGGAGGGAAGAAGGGGGGGGGAGGGAGGAAGGGAGGGAGGGAGGAGGGAGGGATGGAAGGAGGGTGGGAGGGTGGGACGGAGGAATGGAGAGGGAGGGAGGGAGGGAGAGGGAGAGGGAGAAGGAGGGAGGGAGAAGAAGGGAGGGAGGGAGAAGGAGGGGAGAGGGCCAGAGGGAGGGGTCTTCGTCGCCCTCGCCCTTCTCGTCCCCCCCGCCGTGGTCCGCCCTCCTCGCCCTCTCCCCCCTTCGCCCCCCTGGAATCTCTGAACCCCCCTCTTCCTCCTCCTCCTTGTCCTCCTCCTCCTCCTCCTCCTCCTCCTCCTCCTCCTCCTCCTCCTCCTCTCCGTAGCCATTTTGGCTCAAGGCTCATGCTTTTGCGGGCTGAGCCCGTATTGGCATTCACGGATACCGCTAGTCCGCGGCAGTGCCAGAGCGCTTGCGCTCGACAGTTTCTTCGCCTACACCGAGGGGTTGGGCTCCCTCACCAGTGTTGTCGCCACGACTAGGCTGTGCGCTGGTCGGTGGCTAGTTGCTCTCCTGTGGGGCTGTGCGCAATGGCACCCAAGCAACGCGTCGAGAACGCGCAGCCTTGGAAGTGCAAGTGGTGCGTGCACAAGCCCACGGGGACAGCTTGGATCAATCGTGCAGATCACAAGTGGTGCGCGCAATGCAACTTGCCCAAGGGGTCGGCGTTCGGAGGAGTGCCGCCGCCCAAGGTCCCCGTGGCGCGCAGCCCAGCGATGCAGTCTCAGCGTGAAGTTGCCCTGGCACGACAGCTCGCCGACCTTCAACGCCAGATGCAGCAAATGCAGCAGCCGTCGACTGGCACCGACGCCGCGTCTGCGTCCGTTCCGCCCTGGGCTACCGACGCCAGTCCTCAGGCTGCACGGCGCACTCGTCTGGCAGAGATCGGCAACATTCTCAAGTCGCTGGGGTCCTCTGATGCTGAGTACCGTGACAAGCTCCTGGCTGAGCGCACTTCCCTGCAGGAGCAGCTGCAGTCCGAGAAGCCTCTCGAGAGCAACGTCAATGCCCAGAATCGGAAGGTCACGGAGGCTCGGAAAAAGAAGGCCAACTGTGCAGCCAAGGTCCAGGCTGCCAAGGAGGCGGTCGAGAAGGCCAAGGATGCCTTGGCCAAGGCCGAGGCCGCTGAATCCGAGGCCGCCACCAACTTGCTCTCCTTGGAGAATGAGCTGCGGGAAATTGTGGCGCGTGGGCTTCCTGTCGGTGGCGAGGCGAAGCCGCCGACGCTCGGCACGGTCATCCCTGGTCTCAAGTCCACCGTGTCTCAGCTGGGTGAGGTGCTACAATCTCTCGGTGGCTCTGAGCGTTTTGCTGCTGGCATGCAGGCTATGGCGGAGATGGTCGCTAAGCTGGAGCAGGAACCAACAGAGGCGAACCCACCGCCACCTGCTGCGGCTGAGCCTGCCGAGCAGGACGACGAGGATGCAGAGGAAATGGCTGTCGATCAAGAGGAAGAGGCTCACAAGCACATCGACGAGATGGACGCGCCCACATGCCGTGAGCATCTTCGCAGCTGTGGTCTCGATGTACCCGCGCCAGGCGACGTGGATGATGATGATGACGCTCCTGTCCTGCGTGATCGGCTCAAGCGGCATTTGGCCAGCGCGCAGAGCCTCGCCAAGAAGCTCAAGGCCACTTCGAAGTGAGTACTTGGGTTCCCATCGAGTTACCGTGTCCATCCTACTTTGTTTAGCAATGATGACGGCTCACTGTGCCAACTTGGACGACTCTGACGTCGACCCGTTTCAGGACATCGATGACCCTGGCCCCTTTCTTTCGGAACAGTATGACGTTGCGTTCGTGGATGGTGACGTACCTACGAGTGCGACGCCCGTGCGGCCTGCTACGTCAGGCGCTCCATCCGCTTCGTCTTCCTTGTCGAGTTCGACTGGCTGCGGGCCCCCTGAGAAGGCTGCCCCCCGCCAAGTGTGTGAACCCTCGGTAGGCTGGTGTTCTGCTTCGGCAGTGGGCCAGGACCGCCGTGCGAGTTCTCTGGGCCTGGGATCGGCTGGAGGGGTGCCTGCGAGTACCTCTTCGACCTCGGCCACGCGCGGACCCACGAGTACCGCGTCCTCGTCCAAACCTTTTGCTGCATCTATATCGAAATCTAGAAGGCACCTGCCGCGTATCGTCTCGCTCAATGGAAGCTCTTTCGGGCCCATCGTCGACTACGCGGTGCAGGCTGATTGCTCGGTCATGGCTGTCCAGGAGACGCACGTGGACCAAGAGCACTTGGCTGACAAGCAGCATGCCATGCTCGACGCGGGCTGGAAGGGCCTGTGGGCACCGGCCATCAGCAGTGACAGCGGCGCTGGTACTTCAGGTGGCGTGGCAGTGTTGGTTCCGTCGCACATCACGGCTATGGCTCCGCCGCAGCTTGACAGCCATATCTTGATTCCAGGACGCGCAGTGGCTTGCCACGTTAGATGGGGACTGCCAGGTGGACTCGTGGTCATCTCGGCGTACCTCAAGGACGGCGAGGGTTTCGGTGCGGCCAATTGCTCGTACGTTTGGGCCCTCGTGCAGTACGTGTGTGTGCTGAACGCGCTCCAGTTGCCCTGGATCATCTGCGCGGACTGGAACATGGAGATCGACGAGCTCAACCAGTCGGGTTGGCTGGAGGCTGTGAGTGCCCTCGCATATGTTTCTGCCCTGCCCAGCTGCAGGCACTCACAGCCTGGCTCTTTTATTGATTTCTTCGTAGCTAGCAGCATGCTAGCGACTCGTTTGCACAAGCAGGTTCATGTTGATGAGGAGGCCTCTACTTATCCTCACCTTCCCGTCTCCATAGGCTTCGCCTCGTCTGATACCCCGATGTGGGCCAGAGTCCCCGATGAGCCCAAGCCTTTCCCTGCCGTGCCCCCCATTGGGTGCGCGAGGCCCCCTGTGTGCCCTTGGAAGGCCGTGCTCGATGTTGCGGGCCC